AAACTGGTTGATCCACCCTGAGAAGGTGCTATTTAAGAGACTGAGCTGAAAACAGCACCTCAGACTGAAGAAGTCTCTCGGACGAGAGACGAAACGTTTCTACATTTTTTGTTGTTTTGCTTTGTTTTGGGGTTTTTTTTTGAATGTCCAGAGGACCAGATTTAACTTTTTTAGACACAGATACAAGGCGTTTTCTAGCATTCAGAGTTAGACAGGATCTGTTTCTGAAAAAGAAACCCAGTTTAACTTCCAGTTGCTTTACCAAGTTTTCCACATGGAGCTTAAAAGAAAGATGTGAGTCGACCAAGATACCCAAATATTTATAGGAATCAACAAACTCAGTGGGATACAATGATTCAAAGTTTCTTTATTGTCATTCGCATCACATATGGTACATGAGGTGGAACGAAATTGTGTACACAGGGTCCACATTTGAAGATAAACTCGAGGGAAGGACTGCTGGGATCGACTTCCTGTTTGAAAACATCCCTTTGGTTTTGTCAGCGTTTAGCACAAGTATGAGACAGAACAAATCTGACTGGATGGTGTTTAATACAGGCTGTACAAGCCGAAAAACCTTAACAACTGTTTTAGCTCGACAATAAACAACTGTGTCATCAAATAAATCCTGTTATAATCGTGCACACAATATCTGCCATAAATAAAGAAGCATGTATCAACGTTTCATTACTCATCTTGGATTATTTACCTTCATGAGATGTTTCTTCTTTAACACGGACGAGCCCCAGAATACGCTCATACTTTGAGACACGAGAGGTGTTCAGTGAACGTTCAGCTCGCTCGAGGGTTCCTCCGTGGTCTTGCAGTGAGCTCTTTTTGTCGCTGCGTGATCTTCAGGAGCTGGTCTCTCAGAGATTACCATTGGTTGCTCGATGAACTTTCAGTGGTTTCCATACAAGGCATGGTTGCTGTTTATCTCTCAACAAACACTTTTTGTCCCTCAGAGGTTTCCATAGATCTCCATGAGCCACAGCCTATAACAAATACTAAAGGATCTCTGGTGTGGTTTCACAGAAACTGTTTTCAGGGTGTTAGAGTCTTCTGGGAGATGTGGCCAAATGTTTGTTGCTCAGTGGTTGCCAGCCGTCTCTGTCTTGCAGATCCCCACACAGAGTAAAACCAGTTGAATTCAAAATGTCACCTTGTGGTTGTTAAGACTGTTTGTGTCCTTATGTGCTTGTTGAATAAGGTTATTGGGAAAGTTTGCACATTTAAAATAGTAAGCCTGTGTCACTTTCCTTTTGTTTGTTGGAAGCTAAAAGCTTTGGGACCACCAGCAGTCAGGACTCAGACCTTTATTTGTCAAAACCAATTGATAAAGTTATACCTGGTAAAGTTATATCTGATTTAAACACACATGAATTGTGTTTATCTTTTTTCTCTGTAGTCCTCCCACAGGCTTGAGGTTCATCGATCACATTGTGGGAAACCAACCAGACGATGAAATGGTGCCAGTGTCAGACTGGTAAGACTCCTGCGGAGTGCATGTACCATATTTTTCGCCATATAAGTTGCATATTTTTGGATAAATTTGCAAGTCCTGGGACTTATACACCAAAGCAATTAATATATGTTTTTTCCCTCCATATTTATAACCCAATTTTTAGTTGAGATCTGATGATTTCATTCATTCTGACATGGAAAATATTGAACAATACCTTTTTCCGCCACTAGAGGGCCCTCAACATTATGGCAAGCCAAGTGTCTCATTAATAGGTAAAAGTGGCTATTAATGAGACACTTGGCTTGCCATACCAAGCCACCTTCGTCTCGCTCCTGAACTCCTGGAGTAAACATCAAATCAGCTGCATTTCACTGCAGCGCCCAGGAGAAATGAAGCTAATTTGACCATTAAAGTGAATATATTGAGAAAAAATTAAACTGAGACACACCTTTACTATAATGTTGAGCAAACAAATCATTGTTTTTAAGTGTTAGTCTTGTTAAATTCTTGTTAAAGTCCTCCCGTGCACGTTCCCGTGGCCGCCATTTGGCAGCCAATCGATTTTTGGCACAACACCGGCGCACGTTTCCAGGTTGTCAGTGGTGACGCATAATACATGCAACTTATACGGCGATGCAACTTTTTGAATGTTTTTTTTTTTACTTTATTAGACATATTTGGACTGATGCAACTTATACAGCGGTGCGACATGTATGGCAGCAAGTACAGGTCTAGCAGTCACATGAGGCAAAAACACAAAGTAAACTAAATGAGCCTCAGTGTGAGGGGGACTAATTGCAGCCCCTGTCTAAAACCATTACTTCAGATTGGACTCGTTAATTTTTGACTGTTTCCTGTTGATGTGTTCAAACGTCAGGTATCAGAAGTGTCTGATGTTCCACCGGTTCTGGTCAATAGATGACAAGCAGATCCACACACAGTACAGCGCGCTGAGGTCCATTGTGGTGACAAACTATGAAGAGACCATAAAGATGCCCATCAATGAACCTGCCATGGGGAAAAAGAAGTCACAAATCCAGGTGGGGATCATTTCCCTTCAGCCTTTCTCTTTTCATTAGTTTGATTCTCCATCCTGGATGTCAGCAGCACTCAGAGGTGTTGTACAAACACTACAGAGAGCAGTGGTGTAGGTGAAAGATGTGCATTTATTGTCCAGCACCTCTGCGTTCACAGGAATACGTGGATTATAACGGGGGGCCAGGAGTTCAGCACATCGCCCTCAACACGTCAAACATTATTGAATCTGTAAGGCCTTTATGATTAAACCAAAAATAATCTGATTTTCTCCAAACTCTTCAAAACAGTGACCTTACTTTTTATCATTTTGCTATTGAACAGATTAAAAACCTGCGAGAACGAGGGATGGAGTTCCTTTCTGCCCCAGACTCATATTACGACTCCCTGAAGGAGAAACTCAAGACGGCCAAAATCACAGTGAAGGAAGACCTGAAGCGCCTGCAAGTGGGGACTGTTTCATCCCGTCTGTTCTTTGTTTCTGCACGAACACACCAGTGATCCGTTTCCTTCTGTAGGAGCTGAAGATCTTAGTTGATTTTGACGACGAGGGATACCTGCTCCAAATCTTCACCAAGCCTGTGCAGGACAGACCAACTCTGTTCTTGGAGGTCATTCAGAGGAACAACCACTTCGTAAGTGAGCAGCATAGTGGTGCAGCGGGTAGAGTTGCTACGCTGAGAGCGATATCTCTGCTGCGTTCACTTTCCAGGACTTCTTGAGTGTTGAAGACTATGTGGCGCCGTTTGTAAAGTTACATAGTCAAAAATTAACAGCAGTATTTTGGTTTATTTAACCTTTCATGAGAAAAAAAATAGTTAACCCCCCCAGTCATATTTTCACCATGTTAGTCATACATTTATAAATGTCATAGTTCCCAACTAAATATTTAATTTACAAGGTAAATATTTAGTTTACAAACTAAATACTTAACTTGCAAGTTAAATATTTAGTTAGTAAACTAAATTTAGTTAGTAAACTAAATATTTAGATGTAAATTAAATATTTAATTTCCAAGCTAAATATTTATTTTCTAAACTAAACATTTAATTTCTAAGCTAAATATTCAATTTCCAAAATAAATTTATTGTCCAAGCTCAATATTTAATTTCCAAACTAAACATTTAATTTATAAGCTAAACATTCAATTTCCAAAATAAATATTTAATTTGCTAGGCAGCACGGTGGCTCAACTGGAAGAGCTGCTGCCTCTCATTGAGCAGGTCATGCTCTCTCCGTGCCTGCGTGGGTTTCCTCCCACAGACCAAAAACATGCATGTTAGGCTGACTGGTAACTCTAAATTGTCTCTAGGTGTGAGTCTCGTTTGTCTCTATGTGTCCCTGTGATGGACTGGAGACCTGTCCAAGGTGTCTCTCGCCCCTTGCACAATGATTGCTGGACATGGGCACCAGTGATCCCCATGACCCAAAATGGAAGAAGTGGGTAAAAGATAATGGATGGATGGAATACTTAATTTGCTAACTAAATATTTAACTCTGATCTTAACATTTAACTTGCAAGCTAAATATTTAGGAGCTCAGACCTAAATATTTAGCTTGCAAT